AGTTGTGGGCGTCCCTGTACCAAATGCCCGGCGTACCGGTACCGGTCCGCGGACCGGCGGTTGGGGACCCCTGACCTAGAAGACGCACGTACCAATACGTCCGGCGGTGTCAATCAAAACTGACAGAAAAAGACTTTTGGTAACGGATCTGGTTGTAGTGTGCAGCTGTGCCTAATATTTTGGCCAGTCTATTTTAAAAACTGTTTGACAGGGCTCTGAACCAGAGTGTCAGCCGCACACAGCAGATGGGGGAAGACAGTTGAGATGGATAAAATGGTCTTTGTCTTACATGCACACGCACACGCGCAGCCAGTTACATTTGTCTCATGCAGTGCAGCCACAGAATCATGAATTCTAATCACCGATTGTTGCCATGTCAAAGTCTTCATACATAGATATGAATCATGTTAGCAACAAATAGCCAACATGAGCGTTGATCTTATTGCTTCATGCAGATGGCTTCGGAGCCAATTGTGCAATTATTGTCAGATTCACTTGTCACTTCCTTCACTTTGGTGTCAATGGATTTCCAGTAGTCCTTTTGAGAGCGACAATAGAGAAGTCATCTGAGCCTGATGGCACCTTATTTTTAGCCCAGAGCGCCCCAATTTCAAGAAATATTAGCGTGACTCTTGCATAAGTGAGTCCTCCAGTAAGGCTGGGCCATACTCGGAAGCTGATTTTCTGTTTTTTTGACCAATGAGGAAGAAGGAGGAAGAAGGTGGACATTTCGTCTCTCAGTGCCAAAGTCTGGTCGTGAATGCAGATCACAATGGTCAATTTTGAGGTCACATTCGGTTCTTAATGTGTTTTTTACTGCAATATTCAATGACAAAAAGGCTTGTGTACCTTTTATGGCTTTACTACTTTGAAATATATCTGTCACATTTTCGAGACTAAAAACTTACATTTGAGCCCTCAATGAGACATATGCATATTTTGCTAAAAATGTTTTTTTTTCCAACAAAGACCTTCAAAAGTCAAGTCATGCAAACTAAACTAAAAACTGAGCATGCTCCTTTTCCAAAAGATGGCCCCAGTTTCTCAACTTGAATAACATAAAATCATAGAAAAAAAAAGTATATCCCGATTTCACTTCGATATTCATAATGTACTTAATGAAATGTGTCGACAAGTTTTCAAAAGTTGTTTGTCCTTTTGAATGTGTGTCAAGGGGCCCTATTTTCACAAACAGGCACACCTGACAATTTGGTGACAGAAAGTAGACAAGATATTAGACCCGGTGAAACCAGGTCTAAGTTGTGGCGCAGGTGGTGACATGCAATTTTGGTGGATTTGGTCAAAGCACAGGCAGACAGACTGCGCTCTACTGAAATGTGGGGCGGGTGTCATTGTCTTCCGTTCATAAATATGACATCAGCATGCATCAAATCCTCAGAATCATTTTCGAAATAAATTAATTATGATTATTATGATTATTATTAGCATCTTTAATATATTTTTACCTAAGCCCTGAGCAACTGTGATGTCTTCAGCAATTGCTCAATCGGCTTCAAGTCAGATAATGAAATTGGCCATGGCATAATTTTCCTCTTCTTTGCCTTAAAAGCTTGCTTCGATTTTTTTCGAGTTTTGCTTGTAAGTAAACAATTTATAAATAAATAATTCTGCCAACAAAGTTACAGCATTTTGCTCTACAAATAAGATATAGTTGTCACGTGAAAGTACAAAAAGTGTGAACTATAGTATTTCGCTCTCCTCAGGGAGGTGGCCCAGATCGACCAGTTTCTGCAGGAGACTGCGGCGCGCGAGGCCAACGCCAAAGTTCGCCTGCAGCAGTTCATCGAGGAGCTGCTGGACCGAGCCGACCGCGCCGAAAAGCAGCTGCAAATCATCAGCAGCTGTGGCACCACGCCCAACGGAAGCCTGGGACGCTGCAGTCTCCAAGGCAAGGGCAACGGACGCCAGGTAAGGAAAGATTAGCAAGACTAGCATGGTTGGGTCGTGGTTAACCGCTCTGACCCGCAGGGTTCGAATCCCTATTGGTGTGTGTCAATAGTTGTTTGTACCTTGCGATTGATTGACGACCAGTCCAGGGTGTACGACAATTCTAGGCTAAAGTAATTTGTTTTACTACTCCTGTGCGGTATTATGAGATGCAATTTAGCTCAACACAATTTTATGTGTTTTTCTTTTTTTATTTTATTTGTATTTTTGTTTAACATATTTCTGTTTTTGTATTTTACATTATTTGTATACGCCAACATTGACTTTTTTTTCTCGTTAAGCACGTGCCCTATGAGATTCCAATCAAATTAATAAATTTACCAGAATATTTTTTTGACAAAAATAATTTGTCATGAATAATAATAATCCTTGAAACATCAATGTTGTTGCCCAAAACTTTTAATTTTACACATGTACACAGTGTTGTATGTTTCTAAAATAAAGGAATAATATTTTGAGAAAAGGTCAGAATTGTAGAATTCTGATGTACTACTTACCAGAGAGACAAAATAGCCTCGTTGATCTCATCCCATGTTGATAAAAACATAACAGCCAAGCATGTCGCTTATTTAGATCATCATCCAGAATCTCTGAAGCGAGGGCTCGAGAAACAGAGAGAGAAGCCACCTGCTCTATTGCACAGATGGATGCGTTTCCATGGAAACCAGTTCTTGCTTCTCATTCAAGGTTTTGAGATGGTTTTCGATGTGATGCAACATGCTACAGATCTGCCATCCTCTAAACAGCGTGTCTAACTTGAGCCTCTTTCACACAGAGACTCTGCGTGAATTGTCACATCCAAGCAGTAATACAAGAAAAGATTTATCTGCCCGCGTAAAATAGTTGTCGGGCGCGGACAATTGCTTCGTGGAGGGTCAGATATTCCGGCATTCCGAGATTCACCACCTCAGTGCACACTTAGCCATCAAGTTATGACTACAAACCCCCTACAAAATGCATTCCCCTCCCCCCGAGTTGCTATGTCGCATGCGACGTATGGAGCTAGCTTATTCCGAGTTGGATGCCTCAGCTGCAAATCAGCATGCCGCGAGTATCAATTAGCCGCTTGCGGGCTCGTGCACCGGCTGACCAGCGTTGTTTCCATCCAGTACTCCTCAGTCTCACCCCATCGGGCTTGGCTAGCCTGCAAGCTAATGAGCTAGCGAGCTCGAAACAACCACGGGAAGGGGGGTGGGGGTGTTGGATGAACCATCAAGTACGTTAGTACCTGGCTCCGTGGTTTTGGGTGTTGGGCCTCACATGAAGGAGACACTTAGGGAAAAGTGAACTGTTTATTCAACACTACGGCACACGTTTTTCAGCCTGCAGCAGCCAACTGCAAACATTTAACATTTAGACTCCTAAGAGAGAGAACTGTGCGAACTGTGCGAACGAACGTAATTGATAGGTGAAAGTTGGACACGCCCACACTCATTTCTTAGACATGGCTGAGCATGGTATGACCAAGGTTCAGAGAAAAATGTCTTAAAAATTTGTTCCAATTAGTTGTAATTTTCTAAGAATATTTATACATGTGTAATTTTACAAGGAACAAAACTGAATTTTACAAGATTAAAAATGTAATTTTAACGAGAATTTAAATCGTCACAACATCATGTAAATCAGTGGTTTGCAAATTGTGGTACGCAGGCTCCCTCTAGTGATACACCAAAGAATAACTGAATTAAATGTTCAAACCGCATACCAAGTGCAATGTCTTGGAATTTTTCATTTGTTTTCGTTCCACTGCAGTGCATTTGTTCAGTACACTTTAGCTGCATTTCACTTTTCAGTACAATACATTTGCATTTAATCATCCTGAAATTGTTTTTTTTTTCCAGTAGAATTTTTATTTCACTTAGCAGAGTATTTTTTTCCAAGTAGTCCTTGATGTAAGAATTTCAAGAATCTCTGGTGTCAGCATTTGTGTGCCTTCACACGCTTAGATAAGCTTTTGTTCTTGGCTGATGTCATCTACATCACGTATTTACACGTCTTTATGCATACCTGGCGACCTTCTCGAGAGGGCTCTCATATACAGTATGTGCTGCGTTGCGGTTCGAAGATGATCAACGGTGATGAATTAATTCCTCAGTGATCATTTTTGCGGAGGCAGACATTTTGATGCATTTCTTTCATTAAATGGTACAGGTCGACCATTGGAGAGCTTGAACCTTGACTTATTGTATGTGAGCCACCTAATTAAAGCTTTGACCTGCTCTGCTGTGACTGCCAGCTGACCTGGAGTCAGCTTTCTTGATCCCGCACTGGGCCCGAGGCCACCGGCAGGGCTACGTTTTACATTTAGAGAGGGATTTCTTTTTTTTTTTTTCTTCTTTTTCTTTTAATGTTTGCACAATGTTGCAGTTGGCAGCAATTCACATTCGCGTACTGTACAACGGATCCGAATCCAAAAGCTCCGGCAGCATGAAAACAGCTTCGGGGCAAGCGAGTGAAGGTCAGCTTGTGCTCACCCAGTAAAAATAGTCTTGCCAGATGAAGCCTTCTTAACGCTGCACTCATGCTCCTGTAGCACCATCTTCAGGTCAATTCTCATCAAAGGAATCAATTTCGCAATTAAGTCACCATTATGCAATTGTACATATTTGTTTGTAACACTGCTCAGCTCTAATAGACGACATGAGCTATCACAGCCTGCAGTTTGTGATGTAAAACTGCAAATGAGGCTGCTGTTCATTATCATGCAGCGGTATGAGTTTATGTTTTGTTGTATTTAAAGCGTCCTCGCCACTGGGGAAGCAATTAAAGACACAGCAGGAGCATTAAAGGTGTCTCCCGCCCACACACAGCCCGTCATGCATGAGCATAGGTCGCCGCAAAATACACTTTGCCATGTGACTAATACAACTTTTTTTTTTTCCTCAGACTTTTATGTTTTCTGAATAATAGACGTCTTGATGTTTGTCTGCAGAGAAACTCCAGCATATCTGGAAGCACAAGAGGCATCTATCAAGCATCTGAAAGACGCTCCTCCCCCAGTACAGGGTAAGGTGCAGCTGTATGCAATAGCCTCCATGATAAATATGATGTGTGGGGAAAAACAAACAAAAAAAAAAAAAAACATCCAATTCTGGCTCAGGCAAAGAAGAAGCCAGCGCGTTTGAGGAAAAACAACCAATCAGAGAAAGAAGGTGGGACTTACGAGGTCTCAATCATTTGTCGCGTAGTTGAGGGGCCGCGGTCAAACTCTCGCGTCCTAGCGCTGACCTTGTTACACCAAAACCATAATTCAAACTGGAGTGTTGCTGGAACACAAAATTTTGGCGAGGCCGCAATGAATTTTATTCATGTAAAATTACAAATTCATTCTTGTGAAATCAAACAACTTTCTGAAGCAGAAGCAGATGGAATGACCTCCCACTGAACATTCGGCAAGCCTCCTCGCTGCCCATCTTTAAAACCCGCCTCAAAACTCACTTGTATTCTTTGGCATTTGACCCAGCATGACTCAGATTTGTTCTTGGTTTTGCTGTTCGATGCTTTCTACCGTCTTTGTTACCGATTTGTTGCTTTACTGTTGTATATGTTAGTTGTTCCACGTACAGCGCTTTGTATGCAGCGATGGCTGTTTGAAAGTGCTCTATAAATACAGTTGAATTGAGTTGAGATTCACGGCCCATCAAAAATGCAAATATACTACACATTAAAATAATAACAAGTAATAACAATCATAAAAGGGCGGCACGGTAGTCGTCCAGCTCCAGCCTCCCTGTGTGGAGTTTGCATGTTCTCCCCGTGCCTGCGTGGGTTTTCTCCGGGTACTTTGGTTTCCTCCCACATTGCAAAAAAAAAATATATATATATGCATGGCAGGTTAATGGAATACTCGAAATTGTCCCTCTGTGTGAGAGTGAGTGCCAATGGTTGTTCATCTATATGTGCCCTTTTAATTAAATAGTAGTAAAAGTATAACATCAATAAAGTAGCTTGAGCTCAGTGTCTGCTTTTCGCCTGGAGCAAATGTGACATCAGACGGAGTGCACGTCACTTTCTCCGAGTGCAACTCAATCTGTGATTTACGGAGACATACTACGCTTGATCTGTCTCACTAACACCTGTCTTCTTCTGCTAGCTGAGTGCGACTGTACAAACGGATATCTTGGGAAAGTACTGCGTTATTTCACACATTGACATGCAGGCACTGCGTGAGGTCCGACTTCACCACCAGTTGGGATGCAAATGTTTCCTATTGGGACGTCACACCATTCCCGTCACACACAGAGTTAGTCACGGCGACACACGGTCAGTCCGACAGCCTTCTGTCTCAGTGATGAGCTCCTCGTTTTGGACTAACTGCAACTGTTCTGTGACCTCAGCAGCTATTTATACGACCAACATAAGCCCGTCTTGCGTCAGTTTAACACCGCAAGTGATTGCTTTTTTTTTTTTTGTCTCCCATCAATTACTCTGGTCAACAGCAAATTTTAGTCAGATTTGGCTTTTGTGTCCATAAATGTACTTTGGACGCAGATTTCAAAAATGTACATCAGGTTTGGGAGATATTTTCATTATTAAGTTTGACCTATAAAAGTTTGCGCAATTTGGATTTTTCCATCCATCCGTCCATTCATTTTCCGATCCGCTTTATCCTCATGAGAGTCGCGGGGGGGTGCTGGAGCCTATCCCAGCTGTCTTCGGGCAGCAGGCGGGGGACACCCTGAACCGGTTGCCAGCCAATCGCAGGGCACACAGAGACGAACGACCATTTGTGCTCACAATCACATCTAGAGTGTTCAGTCAGCCTGCTACACATGTTTTTGAAATGTGGGAGGAAACCGGAGCACCCGGAGAAAACCCACAGAGCGCGGGGAGAACATACAAACTCCACACAGGAAGGCCACAGCTGGAATTGAACCACGTACCTCGGCACTGTGAGGTTGACGCCACCGGGCCGCCCTTGGATTTTACCTTGCATTGTCATTGTTGAACCTAACTCTTAATTCATAAATATTACTGGATATCTTACTATATATTGCAGATGATCCCATTTGAGCTCTTTTGCTAACTTTAACAGCACCACCAATGAAAGCCTCTCAGGTGAATTCAAGGGTGGAGACATACTACATATTGACAACCAGTTCCCTACGCAGTGTTTAAGATCTCAGGATATGTGGAGAATTCTCACAGTATTTATCTTGTCATTTGTCATTTTAGCGCATCAGGTCGGATCAAGTCGGTCTCACAGGGTTCCGGCGGATACGACAGCGACGGCGTGGAGATGCACCCCATGGAGGAGTGCCCCGAGGCTCAGTACTACCACATGCAGTGCCGCCTGAACGAGGTGGCTTACGAGCGCTCCCCCGGATGCGGCGGAGGAGGGAGGAACTGGGGTCTCCGCAAACAGGCCATCCAGAACTGGCAGCGGCGGCCTTACAGGAACAGCACCGAGGGCGAGGAAGGAGACTTGTCCGACGTGGGCTCTCGGACAACTGAATCCGAAGTGGACATGTGGGAGCAGGAGAGGAGGGCAGTGGCGGAAGTGCAGCAGTCGTGCGCCCCCTATCCTTACCACGGCAGGGCTGGATATCGAGCGAACACAGGTACCATCCATCAATCATTTCATGTCAGCATTCACAGTTCTCAGGGCGAATCTCGGTTTGGGGGTTTGCATGTTCTCCCAATGCTTGCATGTTGTTTTTATTTTTATTTTTCTGGTTAGTCATGCTTCCTCCACCATTCCCAGAATATCCAAAGCGTGTTAGGTTCATATAAAATTCTGAAATGTTCATAAGTGTGAGCTTAAATGGAGGATATACCCCCTCTGCAAATTCCTCAAATTCACCAGATTTTTTTTTTTTTTACAACTTCCTGTTTCAAGGGCAAATTAAATATTATCCTATTTAAAGACACAGTGACACCTAGTGATTTATTTCCAGCATAACACATCGCAAATGAGTGGAAAAGTCAGTCAGGTTGGGGTGCGTTTCAATGCAATATCATGACTCAAAATGCGCTCCCTTATGGAGGAAAAAGGAGCTGTATGACAGCATTTCATACTCGACATTTTACTCACGTTCCCTTCTGGGAGCTGTCTTTATCATGTTATCTATATTCGCATACGCACGTTTCTTTCCATAGCATGTCACATACAGTTTTTTTTTTCTTTTTTTAGTTCATTTGGCAGTTTTAAGTGTAGGTGGTGTGTGTATGTGAGGAAGCGAGAGTGTCAGTGGCGGTTCACGGGCCTGATGGTTTGGAGCAGACGGCCTTGGACGCCAAAGATGAAGATGAGTCACCTCCGAGCGATCTCTCGTCAACGCCGGTGCTTATTTTCGTTCTGCTCTTCACGAGCTGCACACACACAAAGCTGTTAGAATGGCGCTCCAAATGAATACCTTCACACCTATAGACATCGACCGTGTCTGTACATCCGTTACAAATGCCGCTCAATCTGGTGCAGGCAACACACTGGCCAATTACATGACTCAAATAGAATATGTCAACTGTATGATTATGGGCCTGGGCTAAAAAAAAAAACAAAAAAAGTGAGGTGTATCAGTAAAGTTCCAGAATTAGCATCACAAAAGATATTTGAGACCCAAACTATGAGTATTCCCTTTCAGTGTATGAGCGTCGTTTGCATCAGTCAATGCGCAATACAGGCGAGACTTGTGCTTGCTTCAAGTTGAGAGCCTGTACGTCCCCATCTCTCACAGCCGGTCCTTCACGCCACCATACATGTTTCTAACGCGATTAAGCATTTTATATATCCATGTTTTTGGAGGACGCAAATTTAGCAACTCCTCGGTCGCTTCAAACGAACTCTCACCGGTTCTTGAAGGGAAAATAACTGCTGTTGTTCGTGAGATTGGTGTTGTAGTGGCGACAACAGTTGAAATGTTTTATGCCTGATAATGTCTCTTTGAAGCTAACAAACCTTTAAGCTAATCACGGTCTATCAAAATAGCTGTCGTTGAATTTGATAATGAAAGTTGCCCTTCTAATCATTTCCTCCACTGTTTATGTATCCGAAGGGCGATGTGAAGGCATTTACAGCAAACCATGTCGCCACGAGAAGAGCCCTTCCAAATCCAATGAGGTGATCAGTCCGGAGATCCTGAAGATGCGCGCCGGTTTGTTTTGCATCTTCACCTACTTGGATACCAAAACGTTGCTGAGAGCTGCAGAGGTCTGCCGAGACTGGAAGTTCGTGGCCCGCCACCCGGCCGTATGGACGCGAGTCTTGCTGGAGAACGCACGCATTTCCTCCAAGGTGAAGAGCATTTGGTTGTCAATTTAACCCTTGAGAGTCCCTATCGGGGCTTCCTAAACCCGTCAGCTGTAAGCGGCATTCCACTAAGCGCAGTGTGAAAAGGGGCTTAAAAGTCGTGTTTTAAATGGGGAAAGGTTGCACCACTTGGTGGACAAGTGACCAGACTGAAAGCCAAGAGTCCAGATTGAAATTTTAATATCAAGGATGCCACAACATCAATGCATGGAAATTGTTTTGTCTTTCTCTGTTTGTTAGTTGCTGGGAACGTTGTCTCAGTGGTGCACACAGACGCACTCGCTCATTCTGCAGAACCTCAAACCGCGACAGCGCGGCAAGAAGGAAACCAAAGAGGAGTACCTGAAAAGCACACGGTGAGCCGCAGTGATGGAACAGGGTCGAATTTCAAACCTTGAACACTTTGGCGGAGTTTCTTGTACAGCTTCTGTTGCTTGTTTTCATATTCAACACACGGCAGGAACATTTAAGATCCAGATTTTTCCTGAAGGAATAGAAATTGTGAGCGTCCGCTAACCTGATGTCTCATGTCAGTGGGTGTCTGGAGGAGGGCCTGGAGGCGCTGCTGAAAGCCACCGGAAGTAACCTGCTCATTCTCAAGATCTCGCATTGTCCTAACCTGCTGACCGACCGCTCCCTATGGCTGGCCAGCTGCTACTGTCGAGCTCTGCAAGCCGTCACCTACAGGTACGCCTTCGCGTCACATTTTTTTTGACTATAGTTATTTTACGTCTTTGCGAGGGAGGGATCCTGTTTCATGCTGCGCGGTTTGGACTATCAATCCTTCAAACCTTGTAAAATGTGTCTGGCTGTGTGTTTCAGGAGTGCCACAGACCCAGTTGGCCAAGAGGTTATCTGGGCCCTCGGAGCCGGCTGTAGAGACATTATCTCCCTGCAGGTGGCACCACTTCACCCATGGTATTAATGGCACTGAAAAACACGGGGGACACTAACGAGGTTACAACATTACGGAATGACCCGAAGTGACATTGTTGTCATTATCGCCACTTTCAGCCAACAGCCGGCTCGTTTTAGCAACAGATGCCTGCAGACCATCGGGAGATGCTGGCCACATCTCCGTGCGCTCGGCGTCGGGGGAGCAGGATGTGGAATTCAGGGCCTGGCCTCACTGGGTAAGTGTTACTGTCGCTGTTTCAGCTACTGCACAGGTGTCAGACACAAGGCCACAATATTTGATGTTAAATGGAGTGATTCCATCATGAAAAACAAAAGTGGCAAAAATACTCACATGCTGTACTTCAGTCGATATACAGATTTTGGTGAAAGTAGAAGTCCTGATTTGACTCTTATACTTTTCAATTACATTCAGAACGGTACACCTTTTTTTGATACCTTGAAAGGTTATCTGCACACAAATTAGTCTCACTCTTTTATTAACTTACATAATGCTCGTACTGAGAAAAAATAAGTCACGTGACATTAAAGCAGCGGTTCTTAACCTGGGTTCGATCGAACTGGGGGGTTGGGGGGTGTGGGGGGGGTGAAATGATGGTTACATTCAAATCTTGCTCGCAGGTTCAAGATTATAAACGCTACCTTGACCTTGTCGGTTGTTGTTGTTGTTTTTTTTTTTTTTTTTTTTTTTTTTTTAAACAAGAGCTGGCTAGTATTGGCTCAACTTTAATGCTATGCTAACGCAGTGACCTGTTAACAATAAATGATGAATTAGCTTACAAGTAACTGAAAAAGACGCTGCTGTCCATGCCCCCCAACCCCCATCATAAGTCAAGATCTGAACCGCAGTTGACTTGATCTATTTTTTGATGTGACCTAAGTGGAGTATATCATATTCTAGAAGACAATGCCACCCCTCAATTGAAAGGATAAGAAAAACTGATCTAGGAAAGGCATATATCCCACGTAAGCTGTCCAGGAAGACAGAAGCTGATGTGCAAATTCATGTCACATTTATTTCTGCCCTTTTTTTTCCATGGGCTAATCATGCCCGAGGTTAAAAAAAAGTAACAAACCAATTTTGACAACGCAAGAAGTAAAGAGTACAGATATCTGTTTTCAAATGTCGATCGTAACTTGCCGTGGAATTTAAACACTCTCAAAAGCAATAAGAAATGTCGTTATTAATCATCGTAATTCACACGGCTCCGACAGTTACAGCTGCACTTATCTACATCTTTCATTTCCTAAAAAGACAATTACACATTCTCGTGGTTTCACCATTGGTAGAACCAGCTCCCTGAGGGCGCCCACAACTACAATTTGGCCCGTGATGAAAACAAATTTGAGGCCCCTGAGCCACAGTATAGGACCACACTTAATCGTTCCAATATAAATCATCGCGGGGTGAAAATTTATAATGCCTGTACAAATTGATGTTCCCCTCTTTTGATAGCAAGGAACTGTATGCGCCTTCAAGTGCTGGAGTTGGACCACGTGAGTGAAATCAACCAGGAGGTGGCAGCAGAGGTCTGCAGAGAAGGTTTAAAGGGCCTGGAGATGCTGGTGCTCACCTCCACGCCAGTCACCCCCAAAGCTCTGCTCCACTTCAACAGTGAGTCAGAAAGCAACTGTGTTAGCATCCATTCATCTATTTTCTGTAGCGCTTGTCCTCCTCAGGGGGGTGAGTCAGCGGCAGCATATCCCACATGGTCGACCGGGTGTGATACTGTATTGGACAACATTTATAGGACCCTTCACAAGTGGGTAGAGGGCAAGGGGAGCAAAGACTCGGATTGGTCAACCTTCCATTTCTTTCTATTTTCGTCATCAAATTGAATCGCATCGCAATTATTTTTATTGAGGACTACATACAAATGCAGTTCCATTGTATATTTGTCATTTGACGGCTAAATGTGAGCGCTATGAATCAGCCTTGAAATTCCAGCTTTACACCAGCAGAGCGGAGAGTGCAACATACAAGAATAACATCCATCCATCCATCCTCCATTATCCGAGCTGCTTATCCTCACGAGGGTTACGGAAGAATATCATCAAAGTCTCAAATGTCCATGTACACGTTTGCCACAGCAAGCAATGAAGAGTGAGCGCACAACTCAACTCGGCTGTATTTATAGAGCACTTTAAAACCACCCCCACTGCATACAAAAGTGCTTAGCATGGAGCAAAACGAAGCATACAACAACAAATGAGAAAACACTACATTTATCATGAAGACAGTAGAAAGCAGAAAAACAGTCCAACTAAAAATCAAGTCTGAGCAGGAGCTTTGTCAATTGCCTATTGTACAAATACTGTATGCTGAAGTGAATGGCTAAGTGTACTTGCAATGTGCTTTCTGAAAAATTGTCCTGTTTTTCTCTTTTGTGTCTGTTCTCGATCACTACGGTCATGGTAATCTGCAAAAGATGAATTGTGATAACCAGACTTTTTTTTTCCTGTTGTTGACTTTGTGGCTTTTTTTTTTTTCTTATGCAATGAAAACATTCAAATATGACTTAGGTAGCCGTGTTATTGGCGTAATGACTTTCTTTACATAGAAGTGAATGTGAACTGCAACAAGAGTAGCCAGCAGCGTAGTATGCAGCAAAACCACTCGACTGGAACGCATATCAACAAATAGTCATGATCGGTTTTCATTCATTCCATTGCGCGCAGGTGTGTGCCGCAACCTGAAGTCCATCGTGGTGCAGATTGGTATCGAAGACTACTTTGAGGACCCCAACAGCCCCGAAGCCAGGAAACTGTTTGATGAGATGGTGAACAAGCTCCAGGTAACAATCAACGGAATCACTTGCGGGATTTGGAATGTTCTGGAAAATGCTACACCTGTCTCAGGGGGGGGGGGGTACCTTCTGATTGTACTTGACGATGTTCTTCTGGTTTTAAGTTGAATCATGGGCACGTTAGCCCGATCAAAGGAGACATGGGGATGCTTAATAATGCGATAAGATCTTTGAAATGTCCTTGTTTTTGACGGGTGTACCCTGCTAGGGGTCAAAATAAGTTACATCTATTTTTATTCCCGACTTCACGCTGTACAGAGTGCAGTGCGCTCCCCTGTAGTCATCTTAGTGCGCTGGCTGCTAACTTGCTCGACAAATCAACAAGTGAATTCAATTCCTCCTCATGCTGCGCTCCAGAAATCTTTTTTTTCTTCTTTTTTTAGGAATAAATACTCATTTCTTTCTCCCTCGCAGGCACTGAAGAAAAGACCCGGCTTCTCCAAAATCCTCCATGTGAAAGCAGATAGTCTGTGCTAACATCATTTCATGCCGATTGTGTTGAGAGACGCCGCCGCCACCGCCACCGCCCACTATGGTGGCGCCATTCAAGTAAAAAAAAAAAAAAAAAAAAAAAGACGCTGCTCCGTGCGCGTGTGTGTGTAAAAGAGTACGTGAACACATCCCGGGTGTAACACTGGGCCGCCTTGATGAACATGTACTGAGGCTCAATGTGCACATTGATGCACGAGGAGACACTTGTTGTTTGTTGCCGGGGGGGGGGGGGGGGGGCGCGTCGCGG